GTAAAGAAAAAAGACTTTGGGGAGCAGAAAAGTAAGGATCAGGAAAAGAAAAGAAGGGAGAGTGCTGGGGTTTGGGGAACCAAACAAATATGTTGCCGAAAAAGCCAGCATGTGTGTCATAAACATGCATAAGAAACAAAACCCAATTTGTCAAGTTAATTTCCTCACTGATCTGTCCAACAACAATGACAGGAGTACATCATTAGTTTTCATTGTTCACCCTTAATTAGCTCAGTACTAGACCTTTTTGCCTTTTCCTCCCTTCATATACCAAAACAGAACTGCACTTGCCATGTAGGATTAATTATAGAAACCTCTATAAAGAAAACCCCTTAAGAGTGTCAAAAAAATGATTCTGTGTGTCAGCTAGTAGTAGACTAGAATGTATACACCTTTCAAAGGGAAAAGGATTCCGTTACACAGAAACAAATTGTCTTAAATTCCCCAAGAAACACGTCCAAAATAAGATTCCTACAGAAATATAAATGGATTCTAGATGAATATGTACAGATGGACAAAAAAGCCTGCAATAAATTAAACCCACCTGTTATGATTTGTAACACTGTACTTATACAAGGGAAGGCGATAAGCAAATAAATTACTTTTGAAGCTATTTACCAAAAGATGAATTTCCTGATTTCTCTGCTTGGATTCCAAACTGACAAAATATACTGAATTTTAGATGGTGTTCTTTTGTACTACCATACCAATATCCATGTGTAATACCTGGTTTAACATAAGTAGCCTAAGCTGTTTCTTCTAGTAAACGAAATTCTGCAATCCTAAAAATTACCTAGTAAAGTTTTTGCAAATGTTGTCAAATACATCTAAACTGTATTTAGATGAAAACATATTGAAAAGAAACTTAACGGCTCATTACTTATATTCCCAGAGCTTAAACTAAAGGGAAAAAATTGGACCAACCTACTTTAAAGGGGGTTATAAAAAATACTAACAAAATGTAATCAGTTTTCAGTGCTAAAAATAAAACTATTAAATCCTAACCACAGACTCTCAGATGAAGTATCTGAAAACTACACAATGGCTTACCCCTAACATTAAAGTGTAATTTCTGTAAAGTCACAATCAATTACTGTTAACTTTTCTGCCCATTTCCCAAAGAATAGACCTTGTACATGCAAGGCTTTCTCACAAATATACACAGCTGGGGCCAGGACTCCTGAAGTACTAATTGTATTCATTCATTTTCTCAGCCCAGCATGGAGCTATGTGATTGCTAGGTCCATAGCAACAGAGAGAGAAAGAGAAAAGCTCATCTTTATCTGTACCTTGCTAGCAGGAAACAGGACTCCTTGGCAAGGAGAAAAGCAATCCCTTCATTAAGGGCATTTTCAATATTCAATGGGGGAAAAAAATCAGGAGAGTAATTAACCAGTTAACTCAGAACCCCCCTTGGGGGGTACAGGGTTAGAAAATAACCTGAATAGTAACGTAACTGCCAGTTCACATTTGGATAGATGATAAAGCTTGATAATGAAGTATTCAGCTTTTCCTGTAATTCCTAGTTAATAAATGTCTTGATACTAATACGTTCTAGTTTTTTGTGATCTTTTGTAGGGGGCAGTGAAGGTGGAAGAGAGATCACTATCCTTCTTGTTTCAAGGGTGGATAAAAGGCTGCTCACAGAAAGTGATACTCTTTTAAATACTAATGCAGTGACTAAGTGCATTTTCTTATTCCAACCCACCTACGTTCCATAATGTAGTTGTAAATCCAACTTGGATAGGAATTTCAGGCAGAGAGAGAGAGCATAACCACATACTTTTTCTACGCACTGATGCCTTAAGGGTAAAAAGGCAAATAAGGCTTTGTGAAGGCTTATATGCAAAGAAGTCATTTGCTCCACACTAACATCCATCTGAAAACCTGTTTTACAAGACGTGCCTTGATATAATTAAAAATTAAAATGCAGATGACTATGACAAATAACTGCACCTCTTTATTTTTTACAGATCACCAAGTCTGAAGCACCTATCTCCTGACTACCTCAATACATTTTTTGCTGGTATGTATGATTACCTTAGCTTCTTACTTCCAACTAGTTAAGAGAAATGTCAGCACATCTGGATCAAATCATCTCTTTCACAGAACAGTTATTCTAGGCCCTTCTGCCCGTCAGAGTTGAAATCTTGTCACATTGACAGAATGTTTATCAGCATTAAAGATTTGAAGTATGGAAGCACTGCTTTGTGTTTGTACTTCAGGACAACTTTTAAAAATCCCAAACACCTGAAGTGTAAGAGAGATGTCAACAGACAATCATAATAAAAATATCTAACAGGCGTGTGGAAAACAAGAATTCATTGAACACTAGCTCTAAAGTAAATCTGTGTTTAAGTACAATTTCAAAGGACGGACAAAAAACTTTTGGAATTCAAACTGAACTGCAAAGGAACTCACTATGTTCCACATCATATGACATGTTCTTAAATTAAAATATTATTTTAAAAAAATACAAATACATTTCTAAAGAAACAATGGGGAGAAAGGTCTTAGCTTTACAGTTGTCACTAAAAATAATTCAGAGTTCAACCAGCAAAGCGCTGTACCAAAAATAATTAACATAATTATGTTGTATATAATAGTTTATTTCCTGATGTTATATAATCAAACTAATGTTTTTCAATCACAAACATTGTATACATGACATTGAATGTGAAAATTATTCATCTAACCCCAACCAACAATTTTAATTTTATAACACGGAAATCAATGTAATTTGTTCAAATATTTTTTTAAATGTACCTTGTGCGCAATGTGCAATGGACACATAGTAAGCAGGTAAGAATTATGTTATATATTTTCACATCTTTTGTTATGTCGATCATATAAATACCCGAGACTTCATAAATAACTAAAAATTAAGTTTTACATTACATTTTTATCGGATTATGTATAATATAGAGTTATGTGAGAATAACGCAGAAAAAAATGACATAACATACATTTGATAAATCCATTAATATGATGAAAACTTTCCGTCCAAATCCTATTCTCGGAAAACATTTTTGTTTGAAGATTCCATCAAAAGTGGTATATTCTTAATTAAACCTGAACACTTAGTTTCATGTAAAGTTTTTTATACCTCGTTATTCTCAAATGAGAACACCAAAATTGTGTTCGCATGGAGAAACCGAGATACGTCTCTATAAAAACTATGGGATCAACTTAGATTTTCAACGTACAGCAAGTTCAAAAGTTTCAATTTGACCTATATTTTCACGCAGGCAATACACTGAATGCTTATTTCACGTGGTTCCTTAAACCAGAGTTTTATTAAGGAGACGGGTTCCCTCCCAAAAAAAGTAATATAATTTATATCAGTGTTAAAGGGTTTAAAACAGTTTACCAATGCGAATTTCCAAACTTGTTGCTCCAGTAAAACAATTACACTCTTCTTTTGTCCAACAAAATCAGACGGAATCCTACAACCAAGCTAAAACGGTTTAATAGATGGATATACTGTATAATCCATATACTTCTTCTTTTCACACGATACATTGTATCTTGCAAGACTTTGCACCTGTAAACATATACTTCGCAATTTAGTCTCTAAAAACGAGAAGCACGTTGTGTACTCCATGCAAGTCACTGATAATCACTACTCCAATACTCGAAATTGCAACAGTGAATATAGAGGTCCAGCAAAACAGTTTTTTTACCACGTTTATCCAAAGATCATGCAAATAGTATTACCGTTTTTGCCTCGGTTATAAAAATCTGGGTCCGTATTCACGGGAAAATGTCAATCCCTCTGTGTTTAAAGCCCCTAATATTAAAGAGTTCCTTTAAATTTAAAAGCTTTGAGCTTTCCTTATGTATCAAAATCTGTAGCTATAGGAAAGTTCTCACCAGACAGAAAGATCTATAAAACCATGACCTGCGACAAAAATCAATGCGTTGATGTCCGACAGAGAGCGGCGTTTGGTTTATTGTGCGGAGATAAAGGTCGCACGACATTTCTTTCTGGGTTCAGATTCAGCGAGAAGTAAGGATAATTGAAATGATCATTTATAAGCTGTGCTCTCTGGTAATAAATAAGATATTTAAACAGATGCGTAGCGAGCGTATACCGTGAACCAGTTGCGATGGTGAAGTGTAACTACCATCGATGTGTCGTTTTTCACAATATTCGTATCCAAATCCTAAACATTCAGTCATGCCTCCAAGTTGCCGTGATGTATACTCTCTATTAAGAGGACTAAAGCCATTTATGAGAAAGTGATTTAAAATAAAAACGCCCGCGTGTACTCATCGAGAGTGTGACTGTTGATTTGTGTTGTATGACACATTTAAGGATAAACCAGTTGACTAAAGGAAAGAGCAGTGACTAATCAAAATCTGCAATGTTGATATAATATGGTGAATTTGTATTCTTAGCCTTAATCTTCACTCATATACATACAGTATAAGGCAGTCATGTACACAAAAAAGTAAAACAGCATCATTGTAACTACTACATATCTGTATATCTGTTTGTTATGAGCTACTCATACTGTACATCAGAAATGTAATGTGTGTACATCGACGTTAAACTGCGCAGTACTGCAATCCAAAAACGATAGATTAATGATGTACAAAACTGGTCTAAATCTGCTAAATCTGAATTTAAGATGTTATTAGTATAAATTACATGCTGAAGAGCGTGTAAATAGCTGTATGTCTTGAATTAAAATTAGATCCTGCAATTTCCAATTCCAAAAATGAAAATGAGTCATCCTGCACTCGGTATCATTTCACGTACACTGTTGAACTTAAGGGATACTGCACGCAAAACTGTCTTGTACTCAAAGTCTCTTTTTTAATTAAAGGCGATGCGTGCAGTTTTTAATGAATAAAAACGGATATCTGCTTACAATAGTCAGTCTACTAGTCAAAACAAAATGTACCACCAAACTATTTTTTAAGTTCCATGTCACACGCGGAAAGTTCCTGTCCCGTCGCCCTTCAAGGCCTGTGCCTGAGAGATGGTGTCTTACCTGGGATTGGTGCTGTTCCAGTAGACGGCATAGCGGTCAGCAACCACCTTGGAGCCAGGCTCCTGACTAATTGCACACATCCAAAGGATCAGAAAAACGAAAATAAGCATCTCCACATGCAACATCACTACTCAACTTCGATCCGCAATCCTCTTCAATGCTAACTCGCAGTCTGGCGTTCTGTGAAGGAACAACTTTCTTCAGGACAGAAAAAACCTATTTGACATTTGTTTGCCTTTTGTTTTTTCTGTGTTTAAATAATTGCATGTGGCTGGATTCTGGGGGAATCTGCAGTTTGTAGGTGCGTATCAGATTTGATCAGAACACTCTTGAGGTGGGGGCGCGCCGAGTGGCTACTGTGGCTTGCAAACACAGTTCTGTGTAATACGTGCGTAAAAAAAAATGCAAATCAGAAAAAAACACAATTTAATAAAGTCAATGCTGTTTGGGAAGCGAAGATGTTGCTTCCAGTCGAAAATCCCAATATGCTCACGTACTCATAGCAACAAGCGCATCAATTACGGACGATTCCAGTTTGTATGAAGGGATTAAATCTCAAAATACCCCCCCAACAAAACCAAGACGCAAAAAAATGACCCAGTTACATTAAGAGGAAGAGAAATAAATAATTATAAAATCCAAAACAGTGAAGCAAAAAGAAGAACAAAACTCCTTGATTTCCCAGTTCTGCATGCAGGTAGGTATATTGCTAAACCCACTCAATTTGTGTAAGAAGCCGCCAGAGGAGTTTAGTCCGAAAACGTAGCAATGAAAAGCAGTTTTAGAAAACCTGAGTTAACATCTGAAGTCCATCACCTCTGATTTGTCTCTCAACTTGGATCGCAATCTGAACAGAAACCCACGAGGCAAAGTGCTGTTCATAAAGCAGTTTTTCAGCCTTTTTTTTTTTTTCCTGAGGAGTAAAGGAGCTGTTTCCTCACTCAGCGCTGTCTTCAAACTGTCAAGGATGAGAGGGAGAAAACTCCTTTTCCGAGCGAGAAGCGATAGGTCTGTTCGTGTGCTTTATGACAGAAGACCCGTTTGTAAATCCCGGATCTGAATGCGGGTAGTCCCAGAGCAGCATCCGATATATAAGGAATAGCGAAATCAAACGCGGATCATGTGCTATTTCGTGCTGTTTAGTTAGACGAAATGAGAAGGTTAGAGCAAAGGCAGCCACTCGCCGGCTACGTGAGTGGGTTCGGTTTCAGCCCCTCACTGGACGGTCTCATTGGCTTGAACAGTGAAGGGGGCGTTTCGCTGATAAAAACGAGAAACCCCTCCTCCAACCTAAACTAATTCAATTACTGAAAAGAGAGCTGAAAGCTCATTCCCACCAGAGGAGCTCGCTGGTTAGGATAGGGATCAATGCATTTGCCAACAGATTAACCTGATAAACGTAAAATTTAATTACCTTGTGTACTAACACAGTATTATCTGTTTCATATGCCATTGTACAGTGCAGAAACACAGCTCTTGTCTGATCATATTGTGTGTTCTTTTTTTTTTACAAACCAGAAACATAAACGGTTTAGAAATGTTTGGCCGACTGATGCAAATCCGAGATCCTTGATTTTCTTTGCAAAACGCTTTCGGTTATTTCGTGTTGCTCTTGACAAAAATCATGAGCCAAATAGAAACTAAGCTGGCTTTGGAGGGACTCATGTTTCACAAGCACATAAGGTCCCCTCAATACTTCGCTATCCATCTGAGTTTTTCCAATACACCTTAAGGACCTCATGGACACTTCTGCCTCTCTTATACAGACTGTCTTTTGTTATTAAAACGCAGGGTCTTTGTTAAGCCTTGGCTGCATTGTGACTTTTAACTTTACACGTTTCTCCTCAAAACTTTTTATTGAAGAAAATGGCGTGGCTTCAAATCATTACCACCCTTACAAAAATAACTTGGGATTCACGTTGCTGCTCTTGAAGGCGGTAAGTATTAACGATGACCAGGAAGATTCACAATATCTGAATGTGAGTTGTTAAGTGTTGTGTAATTCAGTGAGTTAAAATCGCGTGATAATGTATTAAACTGATTGTTAAAAGTAAATGACTAATGGTATATTTTACATATTTATGATGTGTAGAGTAACCAGTAGTTTCATATATAAGGGGTTTATCCTCCTTTTATTTGTTATAGGGACAAAATAATGAATTTAAACTAATTTAATACCTAACTTTTCATTATATGTAGTATTTTAATACATCTACTACCAGATGTTGTGGTTAAATATATTTTTTATGTTGTCTTACATCATTGGAATGGTACAATAATTCATATCTTATATATATATAATGAACATTAATCCTAAAACAGCTGTGTTATGTCTTTTATGGCCTGCAATATTTTGAAATAATCACAAGTGAGGCTATAGCATTTATTTTGTACAGATTTGACGGTTACGTGTAAGGATTTGTAAGTTTCCTCATAAAAAGTATAAACAGGGAATAAAAAATACACCAGTTTAAATTTAAATTTTATGGTTCATTATTTATACTTTGTCCTATTTTTTCACGCTACATGATATATCATTTTAAAAATTCATCGTGTTATTGTTGTAACTTAACTAAATTAAATTTACACCAAACTTCAAACAGCAAACATGAAGACATAGTGCAAGATTCTGACAAAACGTACTTTTACAATACTGAACAATTAAAAAATATATAATTTGTCTTAAACGAAGTCCACGTTTTTCACCGTTTTGAATGGAAACCTGGGAAGTATTAATAAAACCGACATCACCTGTTGAAAACCGCTGGATTTTTTTTCTACGAATTTCTGAAAGGAAATCTGTAAAGACTCTATTACCAATTTAATAATCTTCTTCGACCTTTTTTTACGAAATCATTAGTTTTTGTTCCTTCCATGAAATGCGCGGTATAGTACTATAAGAGATGTAATCGTATCTCTTATAAAACACTAGTAAGAAACAGAAGATCAGTACTTATACATAGAACTATCCAAGTAAACAAAGCGATCCTTAAGAAAATGACACACAATAATACATATACAGATAATGCAAATGCATATTAAATTACACTATGTAGCATGTTGTTATTGTGGTTTTGATAGACAAATGATCTTGTATTTCGAAGCATTATCTCAAAAGACTTCGAAAGCGCCCAGACTCCACCTAGTGGAGACAAAAACAACACATCTCCTTAAAGGCGCACTCACGGCTGATGTTTGACGGGCCAACCGAATACTAATAAAGTGAGTGATTTTACGCCATGTGTTGTCTTTAACGACATAACAGAGTAAATATTTGGGGAAAATTCCTTGCATTTTAATTCAGGTAGTTTATTTTATTTTCAAAACCTCTTAGCTCTTTTCTGAGTTCGCATCAACTGACACTTGTAGCTGCCCGTTTGTACGAGAATCCCTAGAAAAAAATCCTTATAAAATAAATATTGCGTGCTTTCCTATATATTTTGGAAGAATTTAATAGCCTAGCAAGATCTCTGCTGTCAGTAATGCTCCGATTCCCAGTATTTTATGAACACGGGCATCTTGGAGAATCACTAACTGTACATCCCTGTTTTGGGGCTGGTATTGCAACAACACCCGAGTCAGGAGAGAAAATGTTTTGCAAATTTTGACAGACGTCTTGGCCGACGAAACAATTGTTTGTGTAGAGTATCTGTTTAAAAGGGCTGGGTTTGTTTTCCAGTTATTTCAGTATGAGATGCAAAGGGGATTTTTGAATTCCAGAACTGGGAGCGGGTCCAATGTTAATTTCTAATCCTGAACAGTTTAGTGAACTGCTGGGAAAGTTATATTACGTTCCTCATCCTATAATCGCACTGGCAGAAATTGTTGTTCTGATCTTCTGGTTCAAAGGGTGCCATGCTGTTAACCGAGCTAAAACAGTCAGGCTCCATTAGAAGAGTAGAAATACGTGCAGGGCATTTATCTCAAGTCATCTGCGGGGAAATTTAGCATACAATGTCTCATCTCAAATCCCACTGCACATGCAGTTTTTCTCAGCTTTGTTCTGTATTTTTTAAATTTCATTTTTAAAATATTTACATGGCATATATTTTCAGTTTTTCAGAGAGGTTTCATGGTCTAATACGAATCCTGGATTAATTTGCAGTCCTCTTGTATCACTGCAATAATGTACTACTTTAAAAACGAACATAATCCAGATACTAATTGATAATGGGAATATATTGAGACATTCGGTATGTGCCCATTTGCTGTCGCTTAATCATTGAAGTATGTTTTTTTTTTTAAGTTAGAGACGTCGATAAAATGCCAAGTGTCACCATTACCGGATTCTTAAATCTCATTAACAAAAAGGATGATTTTATACAGTTAAACCAGGTAAATAGCTCCAAAAGTGAAAATAATGTGTACAAATCAATCAAGTCCAAATTAACAAAAGTAATGAACTTCCATCATTTTAAACGTGGATACCTTATGTTTATTTTTGTAACTATCTGTACCCTAATTTAAAAAGCAGCTAAACGTGGTGCCGTTTTTATTTTCAAAAGAGACTTAAAGGTTTCCTTCATTACACTTTATCTCATTTTATTTTTCCACAGATTCATGAAGACTGAATGGTGGTTTAATCTTGAAGAAGGAACTTGTGCCTTTTAAGAACCTTAGGTAGTTTTTTTTTGTTCAAGTGTGGATCCTGAATACATTATTTTGAATAGCTTTGCAAAAAATATCCTATATGTATTTTCTAGAGTGGCATGGTGGAGTTACCACGGCTGCCTCACAGCTCTTGGCCCCTGGGTTTGAGTCTGACGTGGGGTGCCTTCTGTACGGAGTTTGCATCCACTCTCTGTGTTGGCTAGGTTAATTGGTGTCTAGCAGTTGTCCCTTCATGTGTGTCCTGTGCTTCCTGAATAGCTACTAAGCTGCTGTGACACCAGGAATTATCAACTTGCTGATAATGCATAATTCTATTTACTTTATTGCATATTTCATTGTGTCTTGTGTTGCATATATAAAGTGACCTTTATGTTGCTATTGAAAGTTAGATTGTGGATGTACAGAATTAATGTGTATACTCCCTCTGCATCTAATGCCTTATTACTTTTTATTATTTTATATTATGTAAGTATGGATCCTGCCTGCATTCAAGTCACTTTTAGGTACTCTTATGCCAAGATAAATGAGGATATCCTCACACATTAAAATGACAAGGACCTAGCCCTAGGTACATGTCTAATCATAAGATACTCAAAAGCAAAAAAATACAGTACACATGTCTGTATAGATCTTTATGCGTGCCTGTCCCACAAACACAAAATTGTGGGACAACATTTTAGATAAGTAATTTTGATGGCCTGGAGTATTTTTTTTCCTCTTTATTTCTTATTTCTTTTTGTGTGGTTTTGGTAGATTATTAAAATAAAATAGAAAAGTGAAATTTCTGAGGTTTTGACACGTCCTAAAAATCGTGAATGCAATAGCAGCTTTCTACAGTAAAACAATATCCATGGAGTAGCATATTATATGGTTAGGATTCGTCTATCTTTCTGGAGATTTCAAACATAACAATGTCCTACCAAATATTTTCAGCTTTTTATGTCTCTGGAGCAATAGGTTATGGACATTGTACATTGATTGAACTTTGAAAGTCAAAGTTTATCCATAACCTCAGTGTTCATCTTGCAATTATATTCTTTTCCAAGATAAACAACCACACTGTTCATCTGACCTGCAACTCTTGAGCACTCTCCTGCACTCCACGAGCTTATGAATCACAGCAGGACATGCGATACTTCCGTTTTACAAATGAAAGTAGAACCCTTTCATACTAGGATCACTGTGGTATCCCATATCAAGGTAATATTATACCTTTTTCCTCTATGTCACTGTGCAACTTTTATTGCCAAAGCAAACTGACACAGCAGACTTGTTAGACATGTGTGTAATAGTATTTGAATAATCATTACAAAAATATTTTTTTATCTTATATTTTCCTCTCACACCAAGAAATGTTGACTATTTAATTGCTGGATGGCAAGCTGATTATCAGCTGTTAATTAACAACAGATAGAGAATTTATACTCACTAACAAACATGAAACTCTATATTGTTTGTAATGTATTTGAATAGACCCAGCTGCTATTCATAACAGTATACTTAACGGACTCATTTACAAAAGCTGTTTGAATACATGCATTTAAGTGGTCATTAGAAAATAGCTGACTTTTTCTTGTGTGGTACTGTCAGGATGCCAATAAGACTACCTGTGTAGAGTGAGTTATAGACTTTGTAGGCTTTAATACTAAGTGTGTTTGAAGTTGATGTTTTGATTGTAAACTAAAGCTTGCTTACTGGCCAATGCTAATTTTTATAGTAACGTCACACAGGCCAGCTTCCTGTGTAAATTCACCATGTGAATAAGGACACTTGGCAGAAGTGATATTCCATGCCGTAACAGTTAATTCTGCTTCTTTACTAGAAGGTGAAAGAAGCTTCTGTTGACTGTTGAGGTCTGAAGTACTGCCAAGAAACAAATTACAAACTCTGACAAAAAATTCCACTGTGCTACTCTGTGATCAACAGACCACCAAATAGAGTTAACAGCTTACAGTCAATACAGTGAACCAGATGGATTTAATGTCCACAGGAAAATCCCTTCTGAAACTAAAATATAGCACTCTCAGAATTATAACTAGGGAATAAATGCACAAACAAGGTGGAGTGAAGTATTAGATTTTTGGCAACATCACAAGTCCTTCCTTTGCAAAAGGTAGTGATCACCCTAGAAAGTCAATTTCTCCACATTTATATACAACAAATAAGATGTTCTTCCAAAATGATTATTTCTGGTGGGAAATCACAGTTATCAGTGACATAAAACTTTGATCAATAGTAAAAATAGGTAAAATGGATTCTCTGTATGTTTTAGGTAACCAAAGATATTGGTACATATTGCTGGTATAATATTTGGTGGGGGAAAGGTTATATTCTAAGTAAAGAAAACATTGATGGAGAAATTATATTTTTTGTTAATATGGAATAATAATAATGATTTCTACCTTTGAATGAAATACATCAGTGTTATAGCTAATTACACGCACAGCCTGATTGAACACCTTATCCAACAGAGTAAATATTCATCTTCTATATGTTATTATTGAAGGAATAGGAGGCTTTTTGTCAGAACATGAATTATTTGCTAATCAGGGCTGGAGATCAAGGTTGGTGATGTCAATAGATCCATGCAGCAGTGGAAATGTATAATGTAGCTGTTGATATACTCAGATATATCCAAACTCAAACAATACATAGAATTCTGTATAAGGAATACCTACACCATTGTGTAAACTTATTGAGAAAAAACATATGAGACCCATGGAGGCGAATTAAGCAAACAAGCTGGTTACATACAGCAGGATGTACACAAAGGTCATGACACCCCCCACCACCACCAACTGAGTAATATGATGTGTTGGGCATCCTTGAGCAGCAAAGACAGCTTGAGGAGGACAGGCATGGATTCCAGAAGGGTCTAAGGCATGTGCAGCCAGATTCCATCTCATTCTTGGAACAGGGTGTCAGTTCAGTTGTGATTGTGACAAGAGTAATGGTGTGTGGGATTGAACTGCATGTTCTACCATTTGTTGTGTTGCTGTGGTTGTTCTGGCCAAGGAGGGAGATGGACGTCTGTCTTGTGCTTCCCAAGCCAATCACGAATTGCCTGCAACCAAAAGAGTCTCTGTCTTGACTGGGCTCCCCTAAACGTTTGGCCAGTGAGTTTATAAATCTATGCATTTATTCTTGTAAATACAATAGAAACACATTATTGTTTAATCATTTTTTAGTGATTTCAGTTTACATGAATTGCCATTTTCTATTATTTAAAACTGAAGGATAATTTAATTTCACTTTTCTTCAACAGAATATAATTATACATAAAACAGATAATTTGACATTATTCTTACAATTAAATATGGATTTGTTTTGTCAACTGTACTTCTTGCTTTTGTTTAGTATCAGAGAGCTGTTATTGCCCAGCATCTCAAGTATATTTTAAAATTGAAAAACATTCTCAATTTATTAAACACTTCAAGAGAGAAGAAAGGAATCTAGATTACACTGTTATTCTGAATACCCCAGCAGCCATGTTGCATACTTAAATCCCAAGATGTCCCTTGTAAACTGAATGATCTAAAATTTCATTACTTATAAAAATATAAATTGGCCAGAAATATAATATTCATTTCTCCTTGATGTTTTTGAAATATGCTGCTTTACTTGTATTATTTGCTTTTATCATAACCACTTTGTACCATTTTGTAAACAGTAGGTTTCAAATGTCTGAACTGTACCGCTTAACAGGAATACATGTAGTCACACTCCAGCGTTAAGAGAGTAATGCACAATGTTGTGTATAAGTATCAACCATCCCCCCACAAACATGCTTCATGCCATGTGAGCATACTTCCCAACTATAAATTTAACCTTTATATGTAGAATCTACATACTATTCCAAGTAGTACATTTACATATACTACTTGAAAACATTTTTTAAAATCCTATAAATGTTAAATAAATGAAATTGACAGTGAAAACAGGTTACATTTGATTTCTTGATTATTAGACACCTTTGCTGCTGCAGCCCCAGATCAGCTTAGGTGTACATGAATTGTTTGAATGGACACAGACTTGGTGAAATGGTATATCCCTGTGTTCAGTGAAAGTGGTGTAACATGTAGATAATTTCCCTCAGGTATGTCAAGGCTGTCAAGCTGCAACTCTTAGTGATCCAACAAAGCTGCTATTAAGACCGAGGAGCTTTTTGAACAAGTCAGGGATAAAGTGGTGGTGGAAGCACGGAGCAGGACAAGGGTACAAGAACATTTCAAAGCCTCTGAATATCCCTCTCAGCACAGTCAACATTGGTATCGCAGCACCCGAACACTACCCAGATCAGATCACCTTCCCACACTGAGTACCCAGGTAAGCACGAAGCTGGTTTAGAATGTCACTTTGTGGCCAGCAATGACCTCGACAGATCTGCCAAGTTCTGCACCCGAGATGGGAGTCAGTGCCCGCATATCCACAATATTATTTAACAGCCATTGTTGAAAATAAACTCATCTTAAATCACTTTTGAGATATACTGCATACATGAGCCACTTGTGGTCAGATGGGACAAAAATTGACGTTTTTGGTATAAATTCAAAGCGTTACGTCTGCACTAAGCCCAATACAGCATAAAAACAAGTCAACACAGATCACCGCAAGTGTCAAGCATGATCGTGACTGCTTTATGTTATGGTGGATGCCTCCTGTCAGCTGGGTTTGGGAAGCTTGTCAAGAGCGAGGGGGAAATGATACAAAGCATATGCAAATCCCAGAGAACAACCTGCTTGAGGCAGTCCAAGAAAATCCAAGACAAATGGGATAAAATTTACATTATTTCATAGTGAATGGTCCTTGGGTATCCCAGTCAAAGTCCTCACCTTGATACAATACAAAATATACATTTCAAAGACTTGAGATTTGCAGTCCATCATTGATCCCCAGCTAACTTGTCAGAATTGAAGCAATTGTACCAGGAGGAATGGGCACACATTACACTGTCCCATTGTGTAGCGCTGGTAGAGACCTATCCAAAAATGCAGATAGTATTAACTGCCAAAGGTGCTTCCACCAGGTATTGACCTTGGGAGCTACATACATTTGCAATCATTAAAGTTCAGTTTGAATATCTTCTTTGTAGAAATGGTTTTGTAGAAATCCTCCCCATCGTGTCACAGTGTTCAGTTTAGCTGCATTCTTTGAATGAAAAAGTTTGTTTGAAAACCTGTGCATATGTTACACAAAAAGTGACAATACGAGTCACCACCATAAGCTTAACAACAAGACTGAAAAAAATGTTAAGCGTCATTTTTAGAATTTTTTTTTCAGTGCTTTGGTCTGTTAATGGAGCTGCTTGCGATAGATGTGAGCACTTTCAATGCACACTGCAACGTAGGTAAAATCACTCTAGTCATGGACCAATCAAATGTAATAAAGTGCTTTTTCATAATCTTGCCAGCTATGAAACACACAACAATTGGTGTTCCAAGCATTTTCTTGATTTAGAGAGGCCACTTATCCCATTGTTTGGCACAGATATGTTATGGCTTCTAGTCAAGCATGCCAGAATATAGAGTGTCCTTGGGCACAATGCCTGTCATACCATTTATGACCAACCTGTGATATACTGGTTGTTTTTATTGTTTTTGAAAATCTTATCATTGAATTTTACAATATATTATTTTCACAAATGATGGCACCTGCTCTGTATCATCTGTGATGTTTTTAACTTGCACATTTAAAAATTAAACACACAATTTTATTTTCAGTACTAATAAAATGACTGCAAAGTAGTTGTCAGAACATGTAAAAGAAATGTCACCATTAAAACATATGGAATTGTCAAAGCAGGCACATCACATGTCAAATTTAACACGGTTTGAATCAGCCACTGACAGTTTAAATTAGTAGGGAAGGGAAACACAAAGATGGTAAAATGTGGTATATTAAGCTCATAAACTTACTTAAGAAGTATTTGCTGAGGCAAAACTAGTATTTTCTCATGTAATACTGCATGCAATTTAAAATTGTTTGACTCTTTGAAATATGAAATTATAAAAAATACATTCATTGACTTTTAATTCAGCATCAAAGTTGTATTTTCCAGAAGGCTAATGAATTTCAATGGTGTCATTTAGTATAAATAGTAGATTTAGTATAAATCTTCACCATCCTTCTTTACATTTTTAATTATCCTAATTAGTTACCCAGATCATCCACATTCCAGTTCTCTCCCTGCATCCTCTACCCTCCCACCACAGTACACCAGGAGTATAAAACTATACTGTTTCTGTGACTCAAGCTCCATGTGTAATTGATTTATTAATGTCAAGGAAAAATAGAAACAGTTATGTGCTGTGTTTGATCAAAACTTGGCAAACTATCAAAATACAGCTCATGTTAGAACTGGCTACTACTGCTGTTTGTAAGCCATGTACTGTACCTCAGGAGTAAATGTTATTGTTGTTTCCAACTTATTCTGCTCATGATTTTATATTTTTTTCTGCTGTTCCTCCTCTAAATGTTCAATTTGAGCCTTTTCTGTACGGGATCCTAAAAACGTAGAGAATAATTTTGCTCTGTGTTTACCTGATCCAGCTGGCTGAGAGGCAAAGTTGCTGTTCAGAAAGATCCGAGATCTGACCTGATTTTCTTACAACTTTTTACCTACCTGTCTGCTCCGTTTGCTTTCCCTCAACTGGTATGCTATATTTTTCATTTTGGGTGAAGCTAACATTTGTATTGATTATCTTCTCACTACTACATTTCTGTAAATTGAACTCTCCCATTCAAACTTTCATCCTTTTTATGTGTTTGGGTGAGCGTCTAGCCCGTTGACATTATACAGTTGGAGACATAATCACTTTTGATATTACATTTTGTGCTTTCAATTGGTGTTGCCCTTGCCTTGTATATTACTAAACTTAGACAAATCTTATCTCATCTGACCTGTATCATGCTAAGCACGTCACTTCTTTTTCCACTGTGGACTGTACTGAAGATGCAGCACTGGTGTAAAGGTTTACCTCATAAAATATTATTGATTTGGTAGGCCCTTTGAAAATGTGGTGGGTGAAGCCAAATCAAAACTGACCCTGCTACTGCCTGAACCTCAGGGAGCTTAACACTAAAGGCAACATGCTTGAGTGGCAGTGGAGGGCATCCTGAACTGCTGTTCATCTAGGTATTTGGACCAAACAGCTCAACTTCTTATCAAGAGGCTCTCACAGCTGACAAGATGAAATATTACTCTGAGATCACAGCAAGACATTAGAGCAGCCATAGGAGTCTTTTCAGAAATTGTGACAGATGCCTGTACACTCTGAGCAGAGGAAAGATGTACCCACTTTGCTTTGACTTGCATTGATTTACTTTTCCTTTTCTGGAAGGAATTGAATTAGTTTGTACCCTGCTCTGTTCCACCCTTTTACAGCAGGTTTTGTGGCTGTAGCTTCTCGACTCTATTTCCCTCTTTGGGCACAGGATCTAATTACATATTAAATTTAATGCACAAAGAAGGTCTGTGATTTTGTCTTATCCCTTGTGTAAATGTAATATTTCTAGAACCTCCATGAATGTCTAATTTTGTTCTTCTGCAACTGCGATAACAATACACTGACGCAACACAGTGAAAAGTTCATTGATAGTATATCATGGAAAGATTCCATATAAAATTTAAAACATGCTTTTCAAAACTAGAAATCTTAAATCAAGTATCCTGTTAATTAAATTTAATATTTTTAAAGATGTCTCTCATTATTTAAGATTTTATATGTATTGTACTTAAGATTGACTTTAAAATATTCATTTATATAAGTATTGACTTTGTATATTCATTTATTATTTATGGATATGCAACATAAGAGCATACGTAAAATCTGTAAAAAGCAGCAAACTTTGAAAGTAATTATTGATTTTTGATAAATTAAAATATCAATAAATTAAGAAGATTGAAAGCAATAAAATCTCATAGTTTTTCAGGTTCAAAGACAGAAATTGACTATATTGATCATGATTAAAACTAGGAGGAACAATTAATGTTGAAAATTCAGGTCACTGCACACTGTGGGATTTATAAAAAAACTGAATGGCTTTCAAATGTTTTTGATTGTTGATAGTTCAAATCTACAGTAAAACAGATTTTTGGTCTGACAACCACATGTTTAACCTCATTAATAAAGAATGTTTCCATTACAGATACACAGTTCTGTTGTGGTAGCTAGCACAATCTACAACCCTCAGATATATTCAGATCGGCTTTTTAAATCAAAGCACTGGTTTTAACATAAAAGTTATTGGACAACATTTCACATTTAATAGTGACATCACAGTTATAGGCTATGGAACATGTGCTCAAATGAATTCAACGATATTCTGTTTTTTTTTTCCTAGTATTTTCTTTTCTTTTCGAGTGTATTTTTCAAACTGTTGGGGAACTCATTTCCAGTCAATATAGTCTGAAGTGCTAAATTTTAGAAATGACAGGAAGTCACAGGAAGGTAATCAAACAGATATTCCTAACTATTTAATTTGTCTATAGAGATTCATTTTTAAAACTAAAACTTTTCATTTAAACATTTAAATGAGCATTTAAACAAAATTAACTTTTAAATACACACACATTTATCTTTGAAATCCTTAGAATGACCAGATTACTTGATCATGAAGCATAATTTTAAGTAGTGGGCTGTTGTCTGCTGCCTTTGATGCTGTCTCGTTTGCCATTTTTCTGATGAATTAACTGATACAGGAGACTATAACCATGTCGAAGACAAGAAACTACAAAATGTATTTGGTGTGATACGTAATCTGCAAAGATGTGTGTCTTCTCTTTGCCGTAATTGTTTTTAATGCTACAAATAAAAAATAATATGTCAATTTTTTCCAATGTGGCCTAATTATAAAACATTCATAAAGGACTTTAAAAGCAAAGATTCCTTCAAAAGTTTTACAGTGCTGTGGCTCAGATTTTCATATGAACTGCACTATGTGACCTGGTGATTAATTACAACTTGCAACAAGAACAAAAAACAAGTAAAATCCTGCAGTATTAAATGCTTATCACTAATAGGTCTTTACTAGGATATATGAGCTATATAAATTGTATACTAGATGTTTTATTGATATTTAATCATTATTCAAGGATTTATTTTTTCTTGGGGCTGTCTTCTGTGGAAAAAAGTTCTGTATTTTATCATTATAGAGCAACTGTAATTGCTTTTTTTCTTGTGCAAATTCTATTTTCAGTATGAAACCAAATCCATCCAGATACTGTGCATTTAAAGAGGTATGAAACAAAGTGACATTTTTTTTTTCTTCAGAGCTGTCAGAATTTTCCAATATACTTTGTCAGCATTTTGCTTGGAAAAAAAACAACAAAGTAATAACTGTGTCATGCGTCATGTCACTAAAGCTCCTTTGTATTTGTACATATTTGCAATACAGAGGTAACAGGAGGTAAGTGAAATAGTACAATAGAACACACTGCAATACACTGTAAAACATTATTAGCTCTCAGGAAATAAAGCATTCCTACCAATGAATTTCACCGTGTGTAGTTGATCCTGTTTCCTTGTGTAGGGGCTGTAAGTCTGTGCAGAGTGTGTTCACCCACTGTTCCTTGGCAGACAGGCCCAGAAACTGACAACAACCCTCATATCTTGTCCTCTCCCAGCAGGCATGGGGAGTTTATCCGAGTCAGAGGTGTAGCAATCGTATTTCCTGACTTGAGATTTCGGGGAAGTATTTCCTATTATTTTTGTATATTAGGATGATAATGGAGGACATGCATCTCTGTCTCTGCCACTGTCAACATCAGTGAGCACACAGCCTTAACTCCCTCTAAGGGCACAGTTTTTGTTCTGATCAGCTTCTACGGTCCGGCTGTGGTCACTGAGCTGTGTTCTTTTAATGTTTGCTCTAGTTTTGAATTTTTTACCCTAACAAGATATTCTGCTATGGTAATATCTCCTTTCTGCATATTTTAACTTCAGTATCACAATAGGATTTGTTGGAAAAGTTGTATTCCTTT